ATAACTTAATAATTATTTTAAAAAATTAATTAGATTTTTTTTAGTGACAGCCACATAAAATATATATATATATATATATATATATATATATTATTTTTAGTGATAACCACAAAATTTATTTATTTATTTTTTTAATATAGTAACAACCACAAAAATATAATAATAAACTAATAATAAATTAAAACTAAGGAGGTTAAACGAATCATGTCATGTTACCCGTTTATTAAACGGTTCGTGTTCATATTGAGTTTTTCACTTGTTTATTAAACATGTCGTGTATGAGTTTACATATTTTTCATCCGATATTTGCTTAACTCTATATGTAATTGTTTAACCCGATATGTTTGACATCTCTGGTTGTACACCCTTCGTTCCTAAATATCTATCGTTTTATCCAATTTTTTTTGTTTCACAATATTTGTCATTTTATGAAACCAAAGCATAATTAATATATTTTTTTTCAAATTTACCCTTATCACTGCTTTTTAATAAGTACTTAATAGATTTAGTATAAGTTAAGTACCTTTCATATTCATTTTTTTTTCAATACGTATTGAATAAGAGTATTTTAATTTTGTGTAATTATTTTTTATTCATACTAAAGCTATTTAATAGCTTTCTTAATCTCTGTATAAAAATTTTAAACAACAGATATTTAGAAACAAGAAAAATATTTAATTTGGGATGAAAGGATCCGATATTAACACCTGAAAACAACCGACAGTTTTGTAAATACAGTCGTCTATGAACTTGACCCAAGAAGCTCAAATTAAGGTCAAATTGAGCATCTTCTCGCCGTGCAAACTACACAATAAGACTGAGAGGAGATTGCTTTTACCTCCCAAATCCCAACCACGAGAGAGAGAGAGAGAGAGAGTGAGAGAGATGGAGAGAGAGAGAGACTCGAGGCTTCTTTTCTTTTAGCCACGTTCCACTTTAAGTTCGATATTGACAAGGCAAGAATGAATTTGCAATTTTGCGTAGTGGTCACTCTCCAATTCTTTCTTGTCCTTCTCTTTTGTTCTGTCCTCTGATCCCATCACCAAAACCCTAGCTCTCTCAGTATTGCCTTGAACCTAGACGGAGAGAAATTGGGTTTGAGAGAGAGAGAGAGAGAGAGAGAGAGAGATTGAATCTAATGATGCATAGGCAAAGTCCTCCGAAGCACCGACACGATGGGACTTCGCCTTTGCCTCTGGGTATGGATTGGAGTCCTCCGCCTCATAAATGGGTATGGGCAGAGTTTTCGAAATTTCCCTGAAATTTAGATGTATTTGAATTTAATTTGTATGTACTCTATTCTGCGGAAATTGTATCATTCCATAAATTTAGTTCATGAAGATTATTTGTGTAGATATATTGATTGTTTGATCATAGTCTGCCTATGACAACTCAAATTGAGTATGATTGGTTGTTTGTAGTGGCCATTGTAGTTTCATACAACGAAGAGACCACTTATGTGATTGCTTACTAATAACTATACCTATGATGTAGTAGACTGACTGCATTGGTGTGCTTAAATTTTGCGACTTGATTGTGAATTTATGTCATAAGATGCATATTGAGAGCTGATCATTAGCTTTTTAAGTGGAAATGCCATTCTTTGTTTTGGAAGTTTTAGGTTACTGGATTGAAACAAACAAGCTCTGAACATTCCGGACAGCAACCAAACAAGGGTGTTACACTGCTAATTTGATGGCCTGAAGGTCAGGGAAAGGTTTAAAATTAATTAGGGGGTGAGGTTTAGAGATTGAATAGGGATTGTTCAGTAACATGTGAATGGTAACTTAAGAAGAAGGAGAGCAACAAGAAGGATTTAAGATAACGACCTAGAATTTTCTAGGTACAACTCCCCAAGATAAGGTTGAGAAGATTCAAGGAATTCCTCTTAGACATCCCAATATTAGAGTTTGAGAGAAACAGAAAAGAATAAGAAAAAAGAACCAGAAACCGATCAGTTGTACATGTAGGATGTTGATTACAATACTACCCTTACTAGAATATCCTAGCACAATACAAGATAAGAAACATAAGGAACCAAAAACTATTAACATTTCCCCTCAGGCCAGAACAAAATGTTAAAAAATGCCTAACCTGAAATAAAGACTATTGAAAGTAGACCAAGATATAGGTCTAGTAAGAAGATCACCCAACTAATCTTTAGACTTGACATAAGGAAAGATAATATTTTTTTACATTAAAAGATTTCGAATAAAATGACAATCAATTTTGATGTGATCGGTATGCTCATGCAACATTGGATAGTGCAGGAAAAATATTTATCTCACTAGGCAAAAAAAAAAAAAATGTTGTTTGGTTGTCACAATACATTTCCATAAGATCCAACACATAAACACCCATATTTCAAAGTAGAGATCCAATCCATAACATCTCGCTCGCAATATGAGTCATGGCAAGGTAGCCTCTACACTAGAACAAGCCACCATATTTTCTTTTTTACTGCACCAAGTAATGAGGTTACCACAATCAACCGTATTATAATCACAAATTGACTGTCTATCAATGCGATTGCTTGCCTAGTCAACATAAAAAAAATAGTAATAGTCACGGTGATGATGGTCAATATAACAATTGTTTACTCGATGTTCCTTTCAAATATCAAAGCATGATAGACAACCTCATACATTATTGTTAGAGCAAAATATTTTAATGTCTTTTTCAAACTAGAATAGAATATCATTATAAAAAGAGACAAAATATTAGATGACTTAGAAGCCTTAGATCGATATTTCATAAGAAACGATCATGTCATAAGAGAAAATTTGTCAACAAATATCGCAAAAATACTGAAAACTAGATTTGTCTTTTTTTCTTGCAAAATCCTAACGATTTGAACAAACAACATTAAAAGAACTTCACTGACGACTCCTAAAAGAACTAGGGTAATGTTTGCCTAATTGACATGCTTCATATTCTAATAAAAAAAGACTCAAATTAGGAATAATTTGACGTAACTTCTACAATGAAGGGCAATCCAATTGAAAATGCTACTTGAGGGTAGATACGATACCAGTTACCTTTTTCGTCCCGAGGTCTTAAAACACAAGAAGACACAGAAACATTACTGACTTTAACTCTTCACCTTGATGTCGTTGTATCTCTAAATAAGTATTAAATATCTAATAAAACTTAAGTTCTCACAAATTGATAAAAATGCAATGATGTTTAGCTAGAGATTTATCAGTTTTTTTTTTTTTTATTAAATAATTCCACAAACTTAAGCTCATAAATCCGTGAGACATTATGTTCAAGTGAATATATTTCCTTAGAAGAGTCTCATATCTTATTCGCCATGTCAAGAATTTACTTACGGTTGCATACTAAGCCACAACTAAGTTGCCACCGTTGAATTCTTGCTCTAATAATCTTCATAATATTTTGAGTTTGAAAGAGAACTTTTAGTTAAATACCTGACTTTCAATAGCATGAGACCAAGATTGGTAATGGTTGTCATTCAACTTCAAAGAAGTATTCGTTTAACTTGATAATCCATGAGATGATTTCTAATATCTTTGGGAGCATCGTGAGCAGATATAGAGAAGTCGATGTCCAACTAATTAACAAACTACAATATCATCAAATCTGAAGAACAAAAAGCCCAAAAAATTGATATGTATGCAGTATGCCAAAACCAATCTACAACAACACTCAACAATTGAAGAATGACCGGAAATAATTCAAAACATGCCTAATCTAGTGTTGAACAAAATTTTTAATCAGAGAAATAAAAATAGTAATGGAACGTTGAGCCAACTGGATGCCAACAACATGTTGTTATTACTAAACCAAAAACAACTCAAAAAGAACGGCCAAATCTTAACACACTTCTTAGGGCTTAGTCGCACATCTCAGGTATGGAAGCATTGAAAAATCCCTAATTGCTCCAAATAGAGAGNTGGAAATAATTCAAAACATGCCTAATCTAGTGCTGAACAAAACGTTTAATCAGAGAAATAAAAATAGTAATGGAACGCTGAGCCAACTGGATGCCAACAACATGTTGTTATTACTAAACCAAAAACAACTCAAAAAGAATGGCCAAATCTTAACACACTTCTTAGGGCTTTGTCGCACATCTCAGGTATGGAAGCATTGAAAAATCCCTAATTGCTCCAAATAGAGAGATCGAAAATTTGGCTCCCATTTTTTTCCAAAATCTTTCAAAAAAGGAAAAATCTATTATAATAACCTCTAAAGGTTGACACCATAAATACTTGGATTAGGAGGCACGGTGTTGTGGAAATAACACTGAGGTGAGCACCTAGGCAAGAAGCGAAGCGTAATGAGACTTTGTCGCCTTGACCAGCCTAGGCGAAGCAAAAGTGAGTGAAGCGAGGTTAGAGCGAGAAAAGCGAGGTTAGAGCGAGAAAAGCGAGCGATTTTGTTAAAACACAGGTATGTTATTCTTTTCTCTCCTCCTTTTCCTCCTCTTTTCTTCTGATTCTGCTTCTTTCGTATTTTTGTTTTTATTTTTCTAGGATTCTCTAATTTCTATGGTTCTGATTCTCTGTTTTGATTTCTTCTTCTTTGCTTCTGCTATTTTTGGTTCTGCTTCTATTTTTATTTATTTTGACTGGGATTCTGTGTTTCTGTTTTTATTTTTATGGAATTTTTTGATTTTTCTANTTTCCTCCTCTTTTCTTCTGATTCTGCTTCTTTTGTATTTTTGTTTTTATTTTTCTAGGATTCTCTAATTTCTATGGTTCTGATTCTCTGTTTTGATTTCTTCTTCTTTGCTTCTGCTATTTTTGGTTCTGCTTCTATTTTTATTTATTTTGACTGGGATTCTGTGTTTCTGTTTTTATTTTTATGGAATTTTTTGATTTTTCTAGTTTTGATTCTCTGTTTCGACTTCTGATTCTCTGCATCTGTTTTTTTTTGTGCTTATGTTTCTAATTTTGATTTTGCTTCTTCTATTTTATTTTTTAAATAGAAGCAATATATTTTATTGATACAGAATATCGCAAAAAAAAAAGGCATTACAAATGTGGAGCACACTCTCGCAATATGATTGAACCCTCAAGAAACCTCTCATATTTAGCCAAGTTCGAAGCCACTCTATTCCCATTCCTCCGGACCATAGTTATTTCGTAGTGACTCAAGCTTAAGAGTACCCGCCTCACACTGTTCAAATTTGCATCCATGTGATCCTTTTGTACGTCAGAATTTTTGGCCATAACAGACTTCAAAAAATGAATGCAATCCCTTTCTAACACCACAAACACTATCCCTTGGAGGCGAGCAAAATTTACTGCTTCTTGCATAGCTATGGCTTCCACGCTCCAAGCCACCTCTCTGCGCATATACTTTCTTGCCATCCTGGCCAAAATAACGCCCCAGTTGTCCCTTAACACAACACTAACACCCATTGTTCGCCCATCCAAAATCTCAAAACCACAAAAATTAACCTTAACTAGCCCATCTCTAGGAGGCTTCCACAATGCAAAAATTGAAGCAACTGGACCTTGGATGCCATTAGCATGTTGGAATTGTTCCAAAAAAACTCTGGCTTCTTGGACGATAATTGCTAGGTTCTTAGATAACCCCGAATGTACCATCTCATTCCTATGCTTCCAAATCAATCAACACTGAACAAGAAATAAAGCAAACTCACCAGACCCCAAAAAAGAGTGTATATCCTTTATCCATTGTTCTGCAACTATCCCCGACCTTTGAATAATCTTGTGAAGAGAGCTCAATTTCCATGACAAATTAGCCTAGTGGCAGTCTTGTAAAATATGAATACTAGATTGTGAATCCCTACGACACACATCACACAAATTATTTGATTTGATTTTCCATATCCATAAGTTCTCATTTGTAGGCAGAGCCTCCAAACAAAACTGCCAAATAAAAACCTTAATCTTATTTGGGATCCTTTGCTTCTATAAAAAAATCCCAGCTTGCGTCTTCTACAGTTGATGATGGCTCTTCCTTGTCAGTTCGTTGAGCACTAGCTGAACTTTGCTCCATTGTGGATTCTTCTACTTATGTTTATGATTTCTAAAATTATGAGACTCTGATTGTGGGACTATGATTTTGCTTCTGTTTCTGTTTCTGATTCTACTACTTCTGTTTCTATTTTTGATGTATGAAATTTTGGGACTCTGATTTTGCTTTTGTTTCTATTTCTAATTCAGCTTCTTTTGTTTCTGTTTCTGTTTTTGCTTATGCTGATTCTGTTTATGATTTCATTACTTAGTTGTTTTAAGTTGTTTGATTAATATGTTCTAGATCTACCTATTTGACTGTAGTGTGATAGTGTCAATCATAAAATATATATATATATATATATATATATATATTTTTTTTTTTTTATTGTTCGCTTTACTTCAATGAAGCGTTCACTTCTCCTCTCATTTTTTGCCTAGGTTTTAGGAGACTTATTCGCTTCGGTTCGTTCTAACCTTAAAATAATACTGAGGAGGCAATTCTACCTATTTTAGTCGCGTCATTATGACTTCCCTATTCAGACGCTAATGTTAGCAACAGAATAGTGGCGTGTTCTCTTCGATGATTTTTTATCCTAGATCGTTGCTCTAAGACACATGGTGCATCANTATATAGTGGCATGTTCTCTTCGATGATTTTTTATCCTAGATCGTTGCTCTAAGACACATGGTGCATCATAAATAACTCATCCCTATTCATCATTCCAAAAACAAAACCAGTACAACAATATAATGGAATATGAAGCTTAAGGATTTGGAGAACTTGGTGCCTAAGTAAATCTAATGGTCAAGTAAGGCAAAACTTACTAAACTTTGTGTAAGCCTTTTAATGTCTATTTAAAATAAGCCAGATAATTATCTAACCCAAAATAATGCTCATGGGCTACACGCACTACTCATGTCCAACAATCCAGATATCCTTAAGTTTAAAATTAAGAAAATACTAGTATAATTATACTAGCAACTTATAAAGCCTGGAACTTGCTCAAAATAAGATATAATTTAACCCAAAGCCTTGTTCACACAAGGCCTTAACAGAGCTAAATTCCAAAGTTGCCCCTTTTCTTCTTATCATTTTGATGTATTTCTACCTGTATGAGTATGATAAGATGTGGACTGGCATCCTTTGGGGCTTGAGATCTGTTTTGACATGAGCATACCTTATAGAGCCTTTCTTTTTCATCATAACATCAAATCTATTTGGATAATAAAACCAATTGATGGAAAGGTGCGCAAAACAAGGATAAGTTTAGAGTGATTGGGATTGAAAATTTCAGTCACATTCTCAATCACTGCTTGGACTTATTTGGCTTTTATAGTCACATTCGTTTGTTCTTCAACCACTACTCTAGTCATCACATGTATTTCTCGAACATCAATTTGTTGGTTGGTAATATCTACTTCAATAGTAAAAATAGCAGATGACATAGGTGCTGGGTGCACTGTGCAGCCACCGATTTTGAATTGTAGGGTTTAAACTTTATTCTTTTGCTAACCACTCCCACCACCTTGTTGATGAAGGAATGAGTTAATGGATTTTGTAAGGACTTAATTGTTTCATCCAGTGAACGTACTGTTGCTTTTAAATTGAAACCTTGAGTCGACTGTAGCAAGATTGCTGCTGAGCCTCGATGATTTGATTTGAACTTGTAGGCCATCATTTCTCACATCCTTAGTTGTTTAGAATTCCCTAAACTAGTAGGACTCTTTAGCTTCAATACTAATGTGATGCAGAGTGACAGTTTGGTGCTGGAATTAGAGGCAAGTTGTACATTTATGGTTCTAAATGGTGGAAGAGTGATGCATAAAGAATTTGATTGTATGTGTGTGTGTGCACATGCAAACTTAGGGCTTGATTTGAAGGTAATTCCACAATGAACTTAGCGGTTGTACTAAGTTATTATTTCAACTGAATGCTTACAGAATTTCAAGATCTAGCTTCTGTTTTCTTTTTTGGTGCAAGACATTACAATAATAATGTGATGAAAAAATGTCGAACATGTCCACTTTTTTTAACTGTGAAAAAATGTCCATCTTTTGAGTAAGTTTTTTTGAATAAAGGGAGGAAATAGATGGGCATCTTTTTTGTTTCTTTCCGCAATTGGTTGTATTATTTTGCTAGCTTTTAAGTTGTAATTAGGTTCTTACTATACTTTGTAATTTGACAAATTTATGTCTTTGTAGAGTGGGCAGGATACTGTTTGGCCGCATGATCCTTGCACAGGATGGAGTTACTGTGTTACAATTCCCTCCTGGGTTGTCCGTCCAAAGTCAAGAGATTCAGATCCTGTAGTGGTATTCAAATTGAATGACTCTGAAGTGTTTATCTATGCGAAGGGTTAGATGTTGTTTTTATGCCACCATTTGGGATTTGACATTATTTTTATTGTATTTACTTGCTATATATGGACAAGTACATCTTTTCATGTTATATCTCGTTGAATAGTCAGCTAATTATTGTGGAATCTAGGTAATTTTGGCATCAAATAAGGTAGATGTATAATGCCATTTTATTCCATTTTAAGCATTATTGTATTGGCAGTGGCACTAAAAGATTGTCCTTTAGTCAGATTACTTTTGTGGCAAAGTAAGGAGGCACATGGTGCAATTTATGGCCGTTGATTTGCTTGTGAGCTGATGCTGCTCTTTTGGAAACATTACTCCTGCTTCTTACTATACGCCACTAGTAACCTTTCTTGTTTTATTTAGTTCTCTGATTGTATTCCAATAACAATATGTTGATGGAATTTGGTAGCTGGAGGCAATCTTTTTCGTTCTGTGGTAAAGGCAAAGTTTATTGTTCTCGTCATTTACCCTCTGCGAACTTCCAGCAAGTTCTCAAATTTTTTGTGGTAATAAATGTTGATACAGGAAAAAATAGAAGTGAAAAAATAGAAGAATAAGAGTATAAGTAATATATTTTGTGGTAATATTGATGTAGTTGGATTTTAGTAAGTTGATATTGGAGGGTTTTGTCCAGTTATTGGTTTTGCTGCTTCCTATTATTGGTTAGGGTTAGTTGAGTCATTTAGAAGCTTAAAAAAAATTTCTGGAAATTTATTTTCTTCATAGTTATCAATATTCTGAAGTTGCCAGNGTCCAGTTATTGGTTTTGCTGCTTCCTATTATTGGTTAGGGTTAGTTGAGTCATTTAGAAGCTTAAAAAAATTTCTGGAAATTTATTTTCTTCATAGTTATCAATATTCTGAAGTTGCCAGTTGGGTTCAGTTTTTAACTTCTTTGTGTCCTACTTTGAATGGAGTTAGGATTGTGGTGCTATTTGGCCCATTAGAGTTTAGAACCTTACTGCTTAAATTTGTCCTGTCGAGCAATTTGTAGTGTGTTTATGTGGGTCTTTAGGGCTTTCTACCATCTATAAATAAGGTGCTTGCCGTAAGATGAGAGCAGAGGTAATGCACAACTTCTTCTTGGTTACAGAATGAGTGTGATTAGTGTGAACCTTAATTAAGTCCTTGTGGTGCAGGATAGTTTCCACTTTCTTTCTCTCCATTGTTTTCTGTCATCTAAATTTTTTTCGCAATACATGATGCTTGTTAATGTTCAATTCGACTATAGAATTGTTGTTATTCAGTACAAGCTTTAGACATGTTCAATCTTAACATTCTTAAAGCACAGTTTTACAGGGTTCTGGTCGGCACACAATCACCAGAGGGGGTTACGACTGCACGATCAGTGTTAAGAAGATTTAATGATTTCTTGAAGTTATTTGATGTAGTAAGTTTATGATTTTTGTATGCATGTGATTGCTATTATATATATATGTGTGTGTGTGTGTATGTATATTTTCCATTTGATATTAAGGGAGGTACAATGGTATATTTGTACCTTGAAATTGCTCAAATAATATAGCTTTTTTGTTTCCTTAAAAATGTAAATTGATTTGGGCACCCTCATGTGTGATTGACTCTCGTTTGCAGCTCAAGAAAGCATTTCCCTGGAAGAATCTCCCACCAGCTCCACCAAAGGGACTCTTACGGATAAAAAGCAGGGCTCTGTTGGAGGAGGTAGGCAGCTTTACTTGTTACTTTTCCTTATGTGGTTCTATTGCGAATTAGTAGAACTCTGGGTTGACATCTAGGATGGCATCATGCTTAAAACTGAGTTTTACCAGGCGAATGAAATGCCCATGTTGCAGGGCATCGATATGTAATAAAAGCTTTACATAAATACCTTGCTTTGAATACTGTTGCTAAGAACGAATTCATGTGCATTCTAATGCTAATATTTTGATCGGATGAAATGTGAAGACTAAATTTGTTTCATACTTTCATTCATTACATTTCTCCTATTTCATTACCATTTGAGTGAAGAATGATTTTCTTCTCCCGGCAAGCTGGATAGCTGCTGGGAATTAATGAGAGTCAAACCATGCAGCAGACTATTTTACATCTCTCTAAATTGAGGTTTTGGTCTTTTTTTTCAAATGGCATTGACTGAATCTTGTTAGGTAATAGAATACTGAAGGTGCCATATTGTATGGAGGATTGAGATTCTCAATAGGCTTACTGTTGTTTCAGAGACGTTGTTCTTTAGAGGAGTGGATGACAAAGCTGCTATCGGATATTGATTTATCAAGAAGCGTTGCAGTGGCATCCTTCCTTGAACTTGAAGCTGCTGCTAGGTCTTGTATGTGTGTCATTACTGTTCCATGCATACTGTAATATTTCACAAAATCTTAATGAAAGATCTTGTTGAATCTAAGTGATGTCACCCTTCTTGAAGTTTTGTCTTTTATGATCTGGTGTTTTGAATTTTGATTCCATGTTGTTGTTCTTTTCAGCATTCCAAAATAAAAACCAGCATATTTCAGATGTAAATTCTTNCTGGTGTTTTGAATTTTGATTCCATGTTGTTCTTTTCAGCATTCCAAAATAAAAACCAGCATATTTCAGATGTAAATTCTTCTGTGAATAGCACAATTTCTCCACCCTATGCTCATCCCAGTTCAAGCCTATCTGTGATTGCTGGTAGTACGTCACTCACGTCAGATTACGGTAGTGATACTGCATATGAGACATCTGAGATCGGAACCCCAAGCCTTGGAAGGGATAACAACTCCGAAGTTGGAAAGGAGGAGGATCTGTCACTGGATGAAGATTTGACAAGCCCAATAGAGAAACTTGTGAAGTATGGCCTCTCTAATATTGGTGAGGGATTGTTTACGGGACAGGCTATTTTAGAGCAGCTTGAAGGCTTTTCTAGGCATAAAGTGCATACCAGAGATATAGATACTGTTATAGAGAATTATTCAAATAATGGAAATGCTTCTAAAGCTGCTTATCTTGCTGGAGGTACTACAGAAATCTTGTCTGGGCCAGAGCACGGTAAGGTGCTTCATCATGCTCGAAAGCATTCAGCTGAGAGTATTGGGAGTGACATGAGTTCTCAAAGAGAAAGTGAATCATCAAATTCGGCATATCCCAATTCTTTTGCGGATGGTCCCCTTGTCCTTTCTAGAGGTGCAGAGGTTTCGAAAACCACGGAAATTTCAGGCCACCTGGAGTTACAATTCCCAAATGATTTACAATTGGTTCTTCCGCTAGATCAACGCCAGAAAATGAACAGGTATCTTCTTTCGATGCAGCAGAGACTGGTTACAGCAAAAACTGACATGGAGGATCTTATATCAAGATTTCATCAAGAAATAGCTGTGAAAGACTACCTTTCTACAAAGGTATGTGAGAGGCTTAAGAATGTATTAATTGTGCTCATGATGTATCTATAGTTGCATCAGGTATATTGAAGGTGAACTCTAAGCAAATGTCATATGACCTTCTTACCTGATTATCAGTTGTTATATAACTTAGTGAACAAAACAATAAGGCTCAACATTGTCAGTAGTGAGTAGCAATTGTTATTAACCAGGGATAAGTGTGTGTTAGTGGATCTTCCCTATTGTGCTTAGGGGAATTTTTTAGATGAAATGGTGCGGCACAAGTTGTTGATTTGCTTTATTCTCATGAGTTTCTTTTTTAATGATCAACAATGCCTTCCTTACCAGTTGGATTAGCTCTCAGTTTTGAAAGGTAGTCAATTGACATGGGAAAGTAATAATATGGTCAGTTCTTAGATGATGGGTGGAGGAATTTTTTATGTTTGGGAGGGATGAGGAGGTTAGTTATGAATTTCAATGTGATTAACGATACGCATAATGGAGCAGAGACGAGCATCAAAACAATTGGAGGAAACACACAAATTTTTTGTAACAAATGGGCTTCCGTCAATGATCAACATTAAACTTTTTTAAAGGATGAACCAGTGAGGCATAACCAGGCAGATATCCACGCTATGGTATCTGTCATTTGCCGTTCGACAAAATGAGGGTATAGATTAATGTTAAAACAGTGGAAAGATTCTTTAAATTTTAGCATTTTCAAGTTAATCAAGAGCATGGGCAGATATCCAATGGGCCTAGGGACCCTAGCCTGCCTCAAACTTTTTTTAGAAGAAATTATAAATATATATTTACATTACTTGTACATTTTTTGTGTCCACTCTATCTTTTCTTGTTTCAATAGTGCTTTTCTTAGAATAGTTGTTGCAATGGCATGTTATGTTTAGTGCTTTTTGTTGTGTTATGGTGTTTTTCAAGTACCCTTGATTTGCATGTTAAGGGTTTTTTGTTCTAAGTTCTAAGTTCGAACGTGGAATTGTTTGTACTTGGCTTCTATTTTCACAGGGTTGATTGCCTCTATGTTTTTATGATTGTTGATTGTTGTGTATCAATAGGATTTCAGTATTATTGTTTTGCTTATTTCTTGAAGTTTTATTTAATGACAATGCTATTTTGCAATATTACACTAATGTTTGGAAGATAGTTTGTCAAATAAATTTTAGAATTGAATATTATGAAAATCGGTTGCGTAACCATATAGTTAATCAATGGATGAATGATGATAGATTGATTGCATATTTAGAGAAAGACATTTTTAATTATGAAGGTATCATGTAATGCTTTCAAAATATCAAAATTCGTCAGTCACTTGTAAATTGCTGCAGTTAGCCTTACTTTTTTGTGAAGGGTTGTACCAGTCTCATTTTTTGTTCGTTTTTTGTTCTATGTATGATGACTTTTGACCCTTTTTGCGTTTAATGAATTTTTATGCATCAAATATTATGATGCAATAAATATAAGTGAATCATCTTATTTTATTAATTGGGATAAAAAAAATTCAAACTTATAGTTGAACTGCCCGCCCATAGATTTTTGGCTCCTTGCCCAATGGTAAGACAGTACAATTGCACCTAGATCGTGTGCCAATTTGGCATGTGATATAGGGATGGGTACACAACATGATATTTTTTTGATACACAGTGCGATGGTAGGTAATTGTACGTCCATATACAAATAGTTAAGTAATATTTATGTAGCCTGTCTAATAAGGGTTCCTAAGCGAAAAATAATCAAAGATAAACTACCGGCCATGGTTGTAGATAATAAAAACTATTGGTTGCATATTAGTATTACGAAAATTGGAAAATGAAATCACAACAAATCAAAATATAAGTTTAATGATCATCAAGATAAAGATATAACTAGTTCGGGTTGCAGTTTAGGGTTAGGACACTAATTTGGGATTATCTGGATTGTGGGTAGGTATGGGGTTTGAGTTACAATTTGAGGTCAGAAAATTAGGTGAATTGGGTCTCCAATGCACCCTGTTTTAGGTCGTGTGACACTGTTTCTTGGGACATGTGGGGTATCTATGATATAGAATATACAAAGTATTATTTCTTTCCCAGGAATGAGATTTAAGAAGGGGCAAAATGATTAAAGGAAGCATAGGCAAAGCAGTAAAAAAATAGAAATTTAAATGAAGCAAGCCATATGAGAAGAATATCCACCTAATATAGTTTCATGTGCCACTCTAGAAAGTGCTGAAGAGTTTCTGCCCTTCCTGTAGTCAAAGAATCAGCCTCTCTATCTCTGCTTTAAGGTCCCAATTATTCTCCCCTTAGAGACTAGCATTATCTACAATCCCCCTGTACCGATGGTTTGCAGAAAGAAAGGCTAGTGTTGGCCACATGATTTCTAGTGTTGCCACAGGTTCTCAGTTGACTCTGAGTTGGGAGCATGAGTAAAATTATGGCATTGTGAAATTGATGACAAAGACACACCAAACTGTGACCGATTTCAATTGATATACATTAAGTGGTTATCAAGGAACTGTCCAATAACATGGGAGTAAGATGGATGAATTGAAGGACTGCCTCTGTTTAGAGGAGTATAAGCAACATTAGGGTACAAAATGCAGGGGCACATAAGAAATGATATTTCTGAATTTTAGCAAATATATGGATGTTAAATAGATGAATGACGGTACTAGGTGAGGTGATGCATTTATGAAAATTTTGAAATTGTATTATTGGAGCTTAATATGAGGGGAAGTCATGTAGTTTGGTGGGTTCATGTGCAATTTTGACTGTTTAAATGCACTGATGCTAAGGAATTATTCGGTTAGGTTGAATTGAAGGAGAGAAAATATTCTGCCGATGGAACAACTTGGAGAAAAAAAGGTCTTGTAGCTAATCCCAATAAATGGGGACCCATATTAGTTTAGTTGATGGTATTGTCTTAAAAATATTTATCAGCTACGGAATTGTTGATAAATTTCTTTATTATTTTGTTCCACTTGAAGCAATCTGTCATCACTGCTGCTGCTGTTCTTATGCTGCTAAATTATAAATTTTCTTGTACAAATTCATTTCTATTGGCTATTACATATGTTCCTAATATCTCAAATGCTCTTCCTATTTTGACTTACCTAATGCAATGTATTTCATTTTATTTGCACTTGTTGTTTGCTGCTTTGTTGGCCTAGCATTCTTAACTAATGCATAGCGCTGGAGATGTGACTTATATATTCCTGTCAAACTTAAGTTCTATGCACAAAAAAAAAAAAAAAAATCCTTTCCATCTCTTACAGATGAAGTGCTGAGCTGAGGCATCTTAAATACTGCTTTTGGCAGTTTATTGACCAAAAAATATCTTTCCTGTGGTTTAGTGGCCTTTAGGTAGAGTGACACCTTATTATCGGTCATTTTACTTTTATTATGAATGACACCTTTTTTCTTGAAATTCTCAGTTCACTGTTAAACATCTTTTTTATTTGTACTAAGATACTACTTTTCTCTTTCACACACTTGTGTTCTCTTAGCCTACAAATTCTTTTTATGACTGCTGCGTATTGTGAGGAAGATTTAGTGTCTCTACCTAATGGTTAATTTTCTATGTCTCCATTTGTAATCCGTCAGTTCTGTAATTATTGAATACCATTTTCCAGTTCCCATATCTCTTCACCCTTCTTTAATATTCTCTAGTTGTTGCAACTTTGGAACCTGACAGTTGCTCTCCTTGTTATTGCAGTTTCTTTGCAATATCCTGCACTCATAGATGTGATCATATAGTTAATATGGATTTCATACAATGGCCCTAAATTATTGCTTCTATGCAGGTAAATGATTTGGAAGTGGAACTTGAAACTACTAAGCAAAAAAGTAAAGAAAAGCTGCAGCAAGCTATATTGATTGAAAGAGAGAGATTTACCCAAATGCAATGGGATATGGAGGAACTTCGGCATCAGTCATTGGAAATGGAGTTGAAAATAAAGTCTGAAAAGGTTGTTTGTATGTCCATGTGACTTGTTTCCGTACGATCAGTGTTTCTTCTCTATCCAGTACAATGACTATTTCATGATTGGTATGCAAAACCTTTTCAGGGAGAAAAGCCAGACACAGAATCAACGAATGTATCTGTGGTTCAGGAGAAAGATTTGTTGCTGCAGGAGTTGCATGCTAGTAAACAGCAGCTTGAGGACTTGCTGAAGGGACATCAAGAGCTAGAAGTGAAGTCAAAGGCAGATATTAAAGTTCTTGTTAAAGAGGTTAAATCTCTCAGAAGTTCTAAAGCAGAATTGAGGCAGCAGCTTGATGAATTGCATAGGGAAAAATCTGAGGCAGAGGTAGTCTGTCACTAAAACAAAGCATGCTTTTACCATCATCTTTCTTGTCTGATGTTAGTTGAATTAGGGGATTTGAAAGCCAAATAAATTGAAAATACTCTACTCAGCAACTCAACTCAACTCAACAAAGTTTTGTCCCAATAAATTGCAAATGTTGTAAAAAATTGTTCTGAGCTTTTTCCATGTAGGCTTTCTAATCATACTGGCATCTGATTGTTAATTTTACTAAGTATTGTCCTTTCTAGCTCCTGGGATTTATAATTCTGTCTGTTATATCTACTGCAGCCTATGTAAGATAACCCAGGGATTTTTTTTGAACATCAGAGAACCCAAGGATTCACTTATCATATTTTAGTGTTTTTTTTTTTTGCGGTTGTCGGCATAGTGGTCAATATCATACGATACGTGATACATATTTTACAGTATGTCTCGGTGCACTGCAAAAAACGATACAGATCAGTGAGTTGTGCCATTTTTTTGCTATATTATACTACATGGGATATGTATCCTACAATGCATTCTGATATAGTAAGAAAATAATATGCGCAAGAACTTTTTTTTACGTTTTTTTTACTCTAAACAGGGAAGTGAATTGACGTCATGTTGCAAAACCCTGGCTTCATTTTGATCTTCAGAAGCACGCATTATAAAATATATTATCGTTCATATTTATTACTACATCTCTCAAAAATGGAACATATCTTAAGATACACTAGACGTTACAATACACTGTACATTATTTTGTAAAAAACAAAACGCATTGCAATATATTTTTTGACAACCTTCGTCGTTGGTTTATTTTTCCATTTCATGGACTTCTCACATCATGTTGGACGACTTATCTTCTATTCTCAGTTTTTTTCCTTTTTGGTGTGTCTATTTCCAGAAACTCTTTCAACAGGAAAAACAGAGCAGTGGACATGCAACAAGTGCTAGGAATAAGCTGCTCCATGAATGTGAGATTCTTCACAATCGGCTTCAAGAGTGCAGCAGTAATTTATTCTCTGAAAACGGAGATAATTTAGCCATGAACTCATCACTATCAGATGCCTTGGATCTTCTATCAAAATCTGACGCCCGAATCAGCGACCTCCTTGCAGAGGTACTTTTTGTATCTTCCCTGTGTGGTTTTCGGTTCATTTCTGTTCATTTCCGTTCATTTGGCATCACCTTATAATGTTGCAATTTATCTGGAGTTTCTTTTGTACTTAAAGCGGAGAATGTTCATTTTCTTACAAATGCATATGTGAGGCACTTTCCGAAAAACATTGTATGCCAGAGGCGTTCTAAGGTTTATTTTCTCTTGTTTTGTTAAGTATATCAATTCAGTTTCATGTGGCATTCAACAAGGTCTTGATGACATGGTTCGGATGCCATTCGTTGAGTATGAAAATTGCAATAACTAAGCCCTGTGCTGATTCTTACTTTTTTGTTTCTTTATTTCCTTGGAGACATTCTGATGTCATTGTTTACATTAAGTTAACAAAAGGATATAATTACTTTATTATGGGCTAGACAAATTCTTGGCTAAAAATCACTGATGTCACCTATTTTGCTCAAGTGTCTTACCATTTATGCAAGGGAATATCATNAGGATATAATTACTTTATTATGGGCTAGACAAATTCTTGGCTAAAAGTCACTGATGTCACCTATTTTGCTCAAGTGTCTTACCATTTATGCAAGGGAATATCATAGAAACTAATCTGATGAAGAGGCACTAGCAATATTGACCTTTTGCATTCCGTCTGATTTGGGGATAAATTTGTCGTTACATCCAGAAAATTAGCAATAAAGTGGTTTTCCGTTTGTGTGCTTAAACCAAACTTTTGGTGTGCCATCACTTTGTGTCTTTTGGGCTGTAAGTTTTCAACTTAGGGTCCTTGTACTAGCAAAAACATACAAGTTTATGGTTTGGTCAGGTTGAAAGCTGGAACAGATCTGTAGCAAAGCAGTTAAAATGTGTATTGGCTCCTTAATATCGTTATCAGGGGTTTCACATTAGGCATATTCCAGTTACGCATAACCGATGCTTGTCATCACTGGGGGAGTGTTGAATTCACAGATTTTCATTTTGCGTATTGGATGGTATTTATGTTCACTTGGAGAGTGCAAATAATTGATGGAAAAGCAAGGATTGCGAATGTATGTTGGTGAAAATCCAAAAGCATTTTACAAGAGTTTTAAATGTTTTTAAGGAATATGGAAGAGAATGGGAGCTCAAGAAGCAAGTGGAAGAATGTAGAATGAAATACAAGTTATTCAAAATTTGAGTAAAGAAATGTTAATTGGAAGAAAAAAAAAATATGCGGATACTGTAGCTAGATCATAATGATTTTAGTGGTAAGTTTAGGGGGTGCTGAGGGATGGAGTTACTGAAGGGTGGGAAATTTTCAAATTTATGAAAAAGTTGGAGGTGGCAAAACAAAAAGTCTAAATGTGGAATAAGGAGGTTTATGGTGATCTTAGAATAATGAAGGGATTAATTGTGACAAGAATTGGAGATATTGATTGAATGGAGGAGGAAGGGGGATTATATGAGAGTTTGAGAAAAAAAAGGTGGGAATTGAGAAATATGTTTGAGCAGGTAGTGTGTAAAGAAGAGAGGAGTCGAACACAAAAGGTATTGTGTAAAGAAGAGGTGAGTCGGACACAAAAGTAAGAGTCAAGTGGATAAAAGAGGGAGATAATAATTCAAACCTCTTTCATAGAGTGTTAATGGAAGAAGGAAAAAAAAGTTCATTTATTAATTGGAAATTGAGAATGGGGTGATTTTGCTAAGTTATATGCATGTGAGGAGATTGGTAGGCCTAGTTTGGAAGGATTAGAGTGGAGCCTCATTGACGAGAGTTGAGCTAAGTGGTGGGAAAGACTTTTTGAAGAGGAAGAGGTGAAGCATAATGTTTTGAGTGTGAAAAGGATAAGGCCCCTAGCCCGGATGGTTTTACTATGACGTTATTTCAAGATTATTGGGAGGTGGGATTTCTTAAAGTGTTTGTTGAATTCTTTCAAGGTGGTGTGGTAAATGCCATCACTAATACTACTTATTTGCCATATTTCAAAAAAGGACAAATCCATGCGAATTAGAATTTTAGACCCATTAGCCTTGTGTCTGGCTTTTATAAAATCATTGCAAAGGTGTTATCATTGAGGTTGAGGGAGGTCCTTAGTGAGACAATTTTNATAGAAACTAATCTGATGAAGAGGCACTAGCAATATTGACCTTTTGCATTCCGTCTGATTTGGGGATAAATTTGTCGTTACATCCAGAAAATTAGCAATAAAGTGGTTTTCCGTTTGTGTGCTTAAACCAAACTTTTGGTGTGCCATCACTTTGTGTCTTTTGGGCTGTAAGTTTTCAACTTAGGGTCCTTGTACTAGCAAAAACATGCAAGTTTATGGTTTGGTCAGGTTGAAAGCTGGAACAGATCTGTAGCAAAGCAGTTAAAATGTGTATTGGCTCCTTAATATCGTTATCAGGGGTTTCACATTAGGCATATTCCAGTTACGCATAACCGATGCTTGTCATCACTGGGGGAGTGTTGAATTCACAGATTTTCATTTTGCGTATTGGATGGTATTTATGTTCACTTGGAGAGTGCAAATAATTGATGGAAAAGCAAGGATTGCGAATGTATGTTGGTGAAAATCCAAAAGCATTTTACAAGAGTTTTAAATGTTTTTAAGGAATATGGAAGAGAATGGGAGCTCAAGAAGCAAGTGGAAGAATGTAGAATGAAATACAAGTTATTCAAAATTTGAGTAAAGAAATGTTAATTGGAAGAAAAAAAAAATATGCGGATACTGTAGCTAGATCATAATGATTTTAGTGGTAAGTTTAGGGGGTGCTGAGGGATGGAGTTACTGAAGGGTGGGAAATTTTCAAATTTATGAAAAAGTTGGAGGTGGCAAAACAAAAAGTCTAAATGTGGAATAAGGAGGTTTATGGTGATCTTAGAATAATGAAGGGATTAATTGTGACAAGAATTGGAGATATTGATTGAATGGAGGAGGAAGGGGGATTATATGAGAGTTTGAGAAAAAAAAGGTGGGAATTGAGAAATATGTTTGAGAAGGTAGTGTGTAAAGAAGAGAGGAGTCGGACACAAAAGGTATTGTGTAAAGAAGAGGTGAGTCGGACACAAAAGTAAGAGTCAAGTGGATAAAAGAGGGAGATAATAATTCAAACCTCTTTCATAGAGTGTTAATGGAAGAAGGAAAAAAAAGTTCATTTATTAATTGGAAATTGAGAATGGGGTGATTTTGCTAAGTTATATGCATGTGAGGAGATTGGTAGGCCTAGTTTGGAAGGATTAGAGTGGAGCCTCATTGACGAGAGTTGAGCTAAGTGGTGGGAAAGACTTTTTGAAGAGGAAGAGGTGAAGCATAATGTTTTGAGTGTGAAAAGGATAAGGCCCCTAGCCCGGATGGTTTTACTATGACGTTATTTCAAGATTATTGGGAGGTGGGATTTCTTAAAGTGTTTGTTGAATTCTTTCAAGGTGGTGTGGTAAATGCCATCACTAATACTACTTATTTGCCATATTTCAAAAAAGGACAAATCCATGCGAATTAGAATTTTAGACCCATTAGCCTTGTGTCTGGCTTTTATAAAATCATTGCAAAGGTGTTATCATTGAGGTTGAGGGAGGTCCTTAGTGAGACAATTTTAGATAGTCAGGGTGCTTTTATTAAAGGGTGACAAATTTCAGATATAACATTGGTGGTTAATGAAGTGCTGGAGGATTATAGGTCAAAGTGCCAATGGGGTATTGTTTTTAAAATTGCAAGGATTTGGTAGGAGGTGGAGTGGGTAGATTAATGGATACTTGCAATCAATGAACTTTTTTGTTATGATTAAAGGAAGATCTAAGGAAGATTCAAAGCAATTAGAGGTTTGAGACAATGTGATCCTTTATCCCATTTTCTCTTTACTTTAGTGGATGATAGGTTGAGTATGTTAGTAAGGAGAGCAGAAACCTTTGATGTTGTGGAAGATTTTATTATTGGGTGGGCTAAAGTTATTATATCTCATTTGCATTATCTTTTTTTTTTGGGAGAGCTGAGAAAAAAGTTAATAATTTTAAAAAGATATTAGAGGTATTTGGAATGGTGTCAAGATTAAGGGTCAACATGGAGAAAGTTTGATTGTGAGCCTTAATTCTTCACAGGATAAAGTTGATAGATTGGTATAAATGTTGAGGTGTGGAGGGAGGGAGTGCCCTTTAAAGTAGTTAGGTCTTTCTTGGGGGGGAATCTTTTATCTTTAGTATTTTAGGATCCTATTGTGGAGAAGGTGGGGAAAAAGTTGGATGGGTGGAAGAGAGCTTATATTTTTAGAGGGGATAGATTAAAGTTTGTACAATCGGTTTTGTCTTGTATATCTAATTTTCTCTCTCTTTCAAATGCCAAGAAAGATTGTTATAAGAATTGGGAAATGATGAGAAACTTTTTTGTGGGGAAGAAATGGTGACGAAAAAAAGGATCATCTCATTAATTGGGAGGTTGTCTCAAGAACTAAAATCAAAGGTGCCTTATATTGGGAAATTTAAAGGCAAGAAATGTTGCCTTAGTTGGTAAAAATTCCCTATGGTATTCGGTTATTAAAAGCAAATTTGGATTACATGTCAATGAATGGATTGTTAAGGGGGTTGACTAGGGAACTTATCGATGCCTATGAAAGTTTATTTCTTAGGGGCTTTTCCAATTCTCTCAATATGCTATATTCATGGTGGGCAATAGGGACAAAATTCGCTTTTGGGAGGATTTTTGAGTGAGGGCATCATCTTTTTCAATTATGTTTTCCTGCTCTATCATTTATTTCTTTTTCATGGATCTAATATTGCTTCAATGTGTCATTATTCTAATCATTCTGTTGCTTGGGATTTTGTAGAAATCTTAATTATAGAGACTCTACAAAATTGGTGTAATTACTATCCTTGGTTAATGAGTTCAAGTTGTGTCATGAGTTAAGTGATAAAAAAAAGTGGTGCCTCGAGTCTTTGGGGTTGTTCTCATGTAAGTCATTCTTTGACAAACTAATTGATCATCCTTCACACTCTGTTTTATCCATCAATGATGTTTGGAAAAACCAAGGTGCCTATCAAGGTTCAAGGTTGTGCATGGACTATAGTTCATGGTAGGATAAATAAAAATGATGTGCTTTAGAGAAGAAGATCGCTTCTTTGCATTTCTCCACGATGGTGTGTCATTTACCATTGATCATTTGTTCTTGAATGGTCCTATTGGTTTTTGTTTTTATGGTCCAAACTATTTCAAGTAGCTGGTTTTAATTGGACCATAAGAATAGGACATTGTCAACAATACTGCGGGAGGAATTTGAGGGGTTAGGACAACATAAAAAAGCGATGACCCTATGACATTGGACTTTTCTTGCCAACATAGGGGTAAATATGGTTGGAAGAAACTCTAGGATTTTTGAAAACAAAGGAGAGTGGAAGGAAGCCCATTGATTTTTTGGCATCACTTTGGGCTTCCGTAACGAAGGAGTTTGATGGCATTCTGCTTTTTTCTATTTTAGTGGATTGGAATGCCTCATGTGATACGTAAAATCCGTTTTTTTTAGTGGATTGGAAGGCCTCATGTGATACATAATTTTACGAATTGAGAGTTATTTTTCCACTTCATAGTTGATTGGACATCTTGTCCATCCGTAGTGCTTTTTGATGTATCATTTTAAATCAATAAAATTGTTTTGTTTTCTATCGAAAAAAAAAAATAAACAATGTGGAATAGAACATTTAGAAACTACTAAGAGTTTCCCAGAGGATTTGAAGGGAAAACTAGCCCTATTCTACATCGGTTGCCCTATCAGAATTTTAAGCATTGATTTAGTTCTTATCCTTGTCAAACCTTTATACTCAAGTCTTATGGTCCTGTTAACCTGAGACTTCAATATCCTTGAAAGGAGGCCAAATTCCAAATTCCCATTGAGTTTTCCTATTTAGTATTTCACGTTAGTAACATTGAATTTTCCAAAGGAGTAATGTTCGTAATGCTGAAATGTTCTTTCCCCATATTTTAATGAAGTACTTTGACAATTTGGAGTCTTGGATGAGGATATCTGGATTTTTGTAGTTTACTGACATCTCTTGTCCACTTTTAATGGCAGTTAGTAATTGGAGTTTGTGAATATAACGGGGTCCCTAGGACAGACTGCATGACAGCTTTTAACTAATGTTCTAAGAAATCAAAGGATTTAGTTGAAATTGTGCTCTTTTAATGGCAGTTAGTAATAGAAGTCAAGTGTATAAATGATCAAACAAGAGCCCTAGGATGGACTGCATGACAGCTTTTAATTGATGTCTGTTGGGTTCTTTGATATGAACACTGAAATGTGCATTTCCTTGGGTGCCGATGTTAGGTGCAGATGGTGAATGTTAATTGTCTGATTCCAATGATTCCAATCTTAGGATACCAAGCCAGCTTGAGCATTCCAATATAGGCTTAGGTGTATGTATGAGAAGGCAAATTAAGAGAGTTGCGTGGTTGTANCAATCTTAGGATACCAAGCCAGCTTGAGCATTCCAATATAGGCTTAGGTGTATGTATGAGAAGGCAAATTAAGAGAGTTGCGTGGTTGTAGAAAAAGATGGTATTGTAAAGGATCAGCAATATTTTGGACCGGGTTGTTGCCCTTTCCCAGTATCACAAGCTCTCCTAACCCAACCTTGTCAAAGGCAAAGATTCAGGTCCAAAAGACCTCAATTGAACTGAATAATTAAGATTTCAATCATGTCCGACCTCAGAAAGAAATGGACTCTTAGATGGTAACCATATTGCACCATTTTATGATGAATACAATATTTCAAATTGTTTGTCAAAGTGTTGGGATAGGCTTTGTTGAGTTGAGTACGTCAAAGTGTGGTGCAAGACTGGGGCCACTGATGTATCCTTAGCTGCTTTGGACAATCTTTATATTTTGCAGCTTTAGAAATTGGAAGTACCATGGTCACTGCAGCAGCAGATGTCAGCTTTAAGGATTGCTCCTTCTAGCTTTGCTATTCAACATTCTGTTCATTTAAGAATGATTTTTCTCAGCAAATGTATTGGGTGAAGGGATGTACCTAAAGGAAATGAAAAGGTGCTCTGTCAGACATTAAGAACACTGGGGCCATATATTGAAATGAGCACTGCAAGGCACTTCATTTTTACTTTTTTGGGCAGTTGGCAACAAACCTTTTTATATTCCCTGAGCATGGAGGATCCGGAGAAAATATATGAAACCACCCTCTAAGCAAAGAACTCCACTACAGGCTTCCTGCTTCCTGCTTCCAGAGTTCTAAAATATCTCTCTCTTCAGATGACTGGTTATAAATGTCTAGTATTTATACCATTGAAATGGCGACCTGATCCTTTCCCAGATTCTACTACTCTTGTCGATTAGAGTAGGTAAAAACTAAATTCTTTAATTCTTATTAGATTATACTGAGCACTGAGCAGTTCTCTAAAATAGTAGTTCTACTATTGCGTTGAGACCAAGTGCCAATGATTTTTAGAAGATGGGGTAGAAATACAATGTATAGTTTAGGGTCCGGAGGTCTAATAAATAAGTTGTACAATGGAGCCGCCTTGTAAGATGCTTTTTCCTGTTTAATAGTGATGGGAAATATTTTTAGCTAGAAAATGTGATTGAAGTTGAATCATTGTGCCAGAGAGACTTCACAAAGCGATTAGATCGAGCTATCTCTTTCTCATCTAGCCTAGCTTATTCTCCAATTCACTAGCTAGATTTATTCAGCCCCTGGATGTTCAAATCTTATGTATTTTTAGCTTTTTGACTTGATGGATAGCAGTAAACAATGAGAATACCTGAAAAGATTTAGTGTGTTTATTATAGCTATTTGTTACGTGTGCTTATTGATCAGAATTTTCTCCAATGCATTTTTCTGTGCCAGTTTTCTTTGCTTATTACTGTAGGTTGTTTATGTCTGTTCATTCTGCCAAAATTCTATCAGGCACAACTCTTAGCTCAGAGTGATGGCAGCACCGGTTTTACTGCTGATAAAACTAGTGTCGTTGATGATGACACGAGAACAATAGATGATGATGAGTTGAGGAAGATGCTAACAGGTATTATCATTGATAATGCTAGATTAAGAAAACAGGTGAATTTTGTCATCCGCTATGCTCTCAAAATAGACATTTCATCTGAAAAAGATGATGAGGCCACTCCTTCAATACCTACTGTACAAAATAAGTTTCCGGAGACATGAAAGTTGGGTGAACATTGTAAATTTATATATAGTATGTGAGGCACTCCTCGATCACCATTATCGATTTGGTTTTGGTTGGTTTTTTTTTTTTGGTGGGGTGGGGTTGTGGTAAGCAACGATTCATGTCCTATACAGTCAATCCCCTAACACGACAATCGGCCATGTAATTCTGTATTCTACACGTTTAGGAGTCTTCAGAAATACTAGTTTCACAATTTTTCTTGTACAATTGACTTGAATAAAAGTAGAAGAGAATGAGATATCAATACGATTGAATGTTGTTCATAGTTTCTTACCTGTTGCAGTTAAAAGAGTGCAGTGAGGTTATTTTGTCTAGACAAGAAGAAATTAGCAATGCTTTCATTTCTGATGTGTTACTAATTGCAAGAGGTTTAAGAGCACAAACTTTTGTACTACAGTTGAGTAAATTATCTTATATTTACGCAGCCTTGACATATATTTGCTCAGAGCATTTTATTAAGGGTGTCAATTGTGTTGTGTTCGTGTGACCCGTATGTCATGTTATTCGTGTTATGTCATTGTTATTCGTGTAGTGTTTGTGTCAAGACCCATGAAAAAAAGTCTATTTAGTATGTTTTAATTATTAAACATTAGTCTAGACTATTTAATATGCGTATTTAATAATAGTGTCAATTTTATAATTGTTTATGTCGAGTTCGTATCAACGGATCAGAATTAACTCCTTTACATTTTATCATTGTGGTCTACAATGACATTTTTAATGGGAATTGATTGTATCTAATACACAAGTTTTTTGAAAGAGAAATTATGATTAGTTATCTTTATTTCATTGGAGTGATTGTATACAACCTGATAGAAGAATGATCCTTTTCATAGCATACTCTTTTATCGCCTTTTGCATCCATGTATAAGGCGTATTTTCACGAATATTTCTTTCAAATTGTGTGAAATATATGTCTAAGGTCCTTTCCGTAATGGGTTCCTATTTGGGTAAAACATATATCCCCTTATCTTACTTTCAATTTAAAAAAATGCTCTCCCGACTTGAGAAATAAAAAAATAAGCCACAAGAGCCCGATAAATAGGTGAGATATTGGCTGGCTGGGTCAATTTTAAGTGGCAAATTTCTATAAATCAGAACAATTAGAGCTGCAAATCTACCAAATGCAAAGTTTTTGTGCTTTAGATCTCTAAACATAAATTGGTTCAAGTCACCCAATTACAGGGCTACCAAACAACTACCTGCCATAAAACCTCCAGTCTGTGCTANAATTTTTCTTGTACAATTGACTTGAATAAAAGTAGAAGAGAATGAGATATCAATACGATTGAATGTTGTTCATAGTTTCTTACCTGTTGCAGTTAAAAGAGTGCAGTGAGGTTATTTTGTCTAGACAAGAAGAAATTAGCAATGCTTTCATTTCTGATGTGTTANGTGAGGTTATTTTGTCTAGACAAGAAGAAATTAGCAATGCTTTCATTTCTGATGTGTTACTAATTGCAAGAGGTTTAAGAGCACAAACTTTTGTACTACAGTTGAGTAAATTATCTTATATTTACGCAGCCTTGACATATATTTGCTCAGAGCATTTTATTAAGGGTGTCAATTGTGTTGTGTTCGTGTGACCCGTATGTCATGTTATTCGTGTTATGTCATTGTTATTCGTGTAGTGTTTGTGTCAAGACCCATGAAAAAAAGTCTATTTAGTATGTTTTAATTATTAAACATTAGTCTAGACTATTTAATATGCGTATTTAATAATAGTGTCAATTTTATAATTGTTTATGTCGAGTTCGTATCAACGGATCAGAATTAACTCCTTTACATTTTATCATTGTGGTCTACAATGACATTTTTAATGGGAATTGATTGTATCTAATACACAAGTTTTTTGAAAGAGAAATTATGATTAGTTATCTTTATTTCATTGGAGTGATTGTATACAACCTGATAGAAGAATGATCCTTTTCATAGCATACTCTTTTATCGCCTTTTGCATCCATGTATAAGGCGTATTTTCACGAATATTTCTTTCAAATTGTGTGAAATATATGTCTAAGGTCCTTTCCGTAATGGGTTCCTATTTGGGTAAAACATATATCCCCTTATCTTACTTTCAATTTAAAAAAATGCTCTCCCGACTTGAGAAATAAAAAAATAAGCCACAAGAGCCCGATAAATAGGTGAGATATTGGCTGGCTGGGTCAATTTTAAGTGGCAAATTTCTATAAATCAGAACAATTAGAGCTGCAAATNAAAAATAAGCCACAAGAGCCCGATAAATAGGTGAGATATTGGCTGGCTGGGTCAATTTTAAGTGGCAAATTTCTATAAATCAGAACAATTAGAGCTGCAAATCTACCAAATGCAAAGTTTTTGTGCTTTAGATCTCTAAACATAAATTGGTTCAAGTCACCCAATTACAGGGCTACCAAACAACTACCTGCCATAAAACCTCCAGTNATCTACCAAATGCAAAGTTTTTGTGCTTTAGATCTCTAAACATAAATTGGTTCAAGGCACCCAATTACAGGGCTACCAAACAACTACCTGCCATAAAACCTCCAATCTGTGCTACACAATAGGGATAATTACCCTACATACTGCTTAACTGAGTGGATTGCTGTCATCTAGAGCATGCATGCATTATATTTGGATCTCAACACAACATGGCTTCCATAATGCTTTTTCAAAAGTTGTCCAACAAATTCAACGAGAAGAAAATAATAANCAAGTCACCCAATTACAGGGCTACCAAACAACTACCTGCCATAAAACCTCCAATCTGTGCTACACAATAGGGATAATTACCCTACATACTGCTTAACTGAGTGGATTGCTGTCATCTAGAGCATGCATGCATTATATTTGGATCTCAACACAACATGGCTGCCATAATGCTTTTTCAAAAGTTGTCCAACAAATTCAACGAGAAGAAAATAATAAAAAGTACATGTCAATGTACAATATTTATATTATTGCAGGGTTTGAAAAGAGTTAAATATACAGATGAGACTCCTATTACTCTAAGGAAATAATAGAAAGAAAGAAAAGAAGCGGGAAGCTACAACGGCTAATCTTAGCTATTCAAAACTGTAGCTTGTGTGGGAACATCACCTATGGTGCACTATCATTAATCTCTTCTAAGCAGAACTCAGCCCAAGCACGTTCACACATCTGCAAATCATGTAGAAGAAGGGTTAAAGAAGGAANACTCCTATTACTCTAAGGAAATAATAGAAAGAAAGAAAAGAAGCGGGAAGCTACAATGGCTAATCTTAGCTATTCAAAACTGTAGCTTGCGTGGGAACATCACCTATGGTGCACTATCATTAATCTCTTCTAAGCAGAACCCAGCCCAAGCACGTTCACACATCTGCAAATCATGTAGAAGAAGGGTTAAAGAAGGAAAAAAAAAATCAACAAAAATAAGAAAAAGACTATTGCATTAACATTATTGAGTTTCACCAGTGAAATAGAATACGTAAGTGAAAGAAAATTTCGATAAAAAAAATAAGATAATCTCTCTCTTTTTCATTCTCAACACGAATGCATCCACAAAACTACCCTTTCGTATAGATTGTCATGGCATGAACTCATCTCTTCTTCATTCTCAACAAGAGATAGAATGCTTTAAGACAAGATATGTCCCCACATCCGATAGTGTTATATGCCAGAAATTCTTGTTCTCAAAGCTGCAGTTGTGGTCACACCACTATCTAAAGTAATTCAAGATACAGACTCTGGAGTGCTCCAATCACAACCACTGGGAGTCAGAATTCAAGCACTTTGCAGAGAATAGTTGCAAAAAGCGACCGGGTGAACAGGCACCAGAGGAATGTAGTAACAAGGAATGACTTACCAAGGGATGGTGGCATATATAGTTTCACATCCTAAAGGAACTATATTTGGTGTCTCCGGATATTGTCTTATGTGGCATTTATGTATGGTTCGAATCCAAAGAGAGGAACGCGATAGAACATTTTAGCAAAAGGGTAGGGGGGTAATAAGGCACAACCATACATTGAACTACAAAAATGTTCTGAGGGACTAAGGATCTTTTCCAAGTACAACCCAAAGGCTGTCAAACAATTGGTCATAGACACAACAGACACATTCTGCAATGTGAAAAACTAGTTAAAAGATCCATTTCCAATTATCCTCACTAGACCGCAACTATATTCCTTTTTGTCACAGGAACAGGCACCTACTCTGAGTGCTGGTAAGAACTTTACTTTGTCCCATAATCATGAATGGAAAGAATGATGATGTGCATCCAATCAAGAGTATGAAGCCTCACATAACTCATGTGCCTCCTCCGTAAGCAGTACCAAAATAAGTTATCAAAGTATCAAGGTCATTAAACAGAACCTATTACAAACACCCACATGCACTATGTAATTACAATTTCTAAAACACTTCATTTACATTCAGGTGAGCAATGACACTGTACCTGAACAGCCATGTTCCATTTCCCGTGGTTCCACGAGCATATAAAGTGGTTTTCCATTTAGTCGCGATTGTCCCTGAAAGATAAGAAATGATCAAAAACAAACCATATAAAGAGATACAATCAGGTAGCTTGCAATTATATTCAAGTGCAGCCTAGGGGAAAAAGAATACAGTTCATTATTTAACATTAATATTATTAAACATATCAAACAATCGACATAATCGTGGATGCCCCTCATGATAATACCAAATCAGACCCAATATTCCCCAGTGGCTCAAGAAAAACACCCCATACTTTCCCCCTTCCCCACAAAAAAAAAAAAAAGAAAATGAAATGAAAAAACATTAAGAAAAGAATAGGAAATTTCAACAAAAGAAATTATAACCAGATGGACCTGAAAAAAGGGATGGAAGAATCTCACCTAAGATTGTTCTTATTTTTTATTAATATGAAAGAGATGTAGAAATTCACAAATAGGTTCACCAATTCGAGAGCTTTTCAAAACGTTTTCCTAGTTCTTGGGAAAAAAAAAAACAGAAGCTCTCCTCCTAGAAACACATTTTAATAGCTCTCCTTTTTGTTTTAAAAACCTCTCCCCCTTTGTTGATGGCTTCTTTTTTGTGACTTGTATTCTGCAATTTGATCTTGTGGGATTAAGGATTTGGGGCATTTTGGGTGTACATCATTCAGGAGGCCCCTGCTTACAAGCTGGGATCTGTTGCTTGAGTTTTATTTGTTCACAAGCTTCATTAGAAACATTCATGATTGATAAGACTTGAGATATTTTCCCCACAAGGGTGTCCATATGGATGTTAATATGTAAGCCATAGTAAAATTAACAAAGTCTTCTTTAGGCTGTTTGATGATTAGTGCCATTTGTTCAATTAAGCCCATGATACACTTGGGAGCCATTCCAGCTGTTTGGAGCTATTGAAAGTCGCAATTAATTAATCTAGACTTTAGTTTCACTAAACGATTACGATCAAGTAAAGAGACTAGAGTTCAAAATTTAATTACCAGTCATGATACAATAAATAATTGAAATGATAAAAGGTTAAATAAAGTTCTAAATCAAGGAAAAAAGAGACCAAAGGAGCACAAATTTTTTTAGTTTGAGTGGTACCTTGACATCAGGCAACCCAATAACACAAGCACATTCAACCACTTCAGCCCCCCTACATTCTAGAAAACAGTAAACAAATTGTTTTCAGCTAAGGCCCCCAGTACACTGTTAAGATGAAAGTTGATAGCACTACCTAAAAGTTTTATTGCTGCAGAGAGGGTCCCACCCGTAGCTACCAAATCATCAATCACAACCGCCAGTTCCCCAGGCTTCACCGCATCGATATGCATCTCCAGACAATCAGTACCATACTCTAGCTCATAATCTTCTGATATAACTTTGCCTGCAAATTCAGCACCTTTAAAGATCCAAGATGAAAATTGTAGAACAAAAAACATGTAGAAGGATAAATTCACACAAAATGCAAGGGAAAAGCAACAGTAAGAAGCTCTCTTTCCCAAAGAGCAGTTTCAGATGCTGAGAATGGACAGAATCCATACCATCATGTAGATGTGATGGCCGTAACAGAACTTGCAGTGGTATTGTCTCCATTCAAATACATTTCCTCTTCTTCATTTTGCATTCATTTTCACTTTTCTTGAATAACAACTTTGGCTTCTATTGATCATAATATGAGCTAAACATGTGGGACTTTGTTCTGTATGGAAGCAACATGATCTTCCAGAAGGATCCCCAAGAAAAATATACCTCCAAAAGGTATGTTAACCTGACAGTATTTATCATCTTTTGCTATATCGTCTCCATTAAGTCTTTATCTTAGTTTGACTCATTCATGTTTGTTCTTTATGGAAACAAATGACACCAAGAGCAATGTTTATATGGATTGACCATATCTTCAGGAGGCTGGTGATGACAAGGACATGGTAGAAGGTAACTGTGGATTACAGCATAATTTTTTCAATATGTAAACTAGCAGCATCTTTTCTTAACAACAATAACATTTTATTTCATAATCTTAACGTAAATGATAAAATATGCCATTAACTATGGTAACGGAACAGAAGAGTTTGAACTTCAAATTGAAGAGGTAAAGTAAATGCAGGGACTTATTTAAGGCACTTCAGTGTGGACAGAGTCACAGATAGAATATATTTGAAGATAACTACTCCACCACCACACAACTCTTGAATGTCTCCCTTCATNAAATTGAAGAGGTAAAGTAAATGCAGGGACTTATTTAAGGCACTTCAGTGTGGACACAGTCACAGATAGAATATATTTGAAGATAACTACTCCACCACCACACAACTCTTGAATGTCTCCCTTCGTCATGCCTTCATTTATTCTTTCTTTTAACTATTGATCATTCAAAAGGAATTTTCTTAAAATATTTGCATCCATAACCATGAAAAAGGATCAAACAGGACGGTATCCTTTAACAGAGACATACGAGTTTTAGTTTCTCAGATTTTCTTTACAAGAAAAACAGAAAGAAAAAAGGAACTACAAGAAGTTTCAATGCACTATCCAACTTTGAAAGCCACAATGCACTAGGCATACCTGGCAACTTTCTAGGTTTACATAATGGAACAAACTTTGCACCGATGGCTAACGCGATAGATGGACCAAACAGGAATCCTCTAGCTTCAATTCCTGCAGATAATTTAATAGCATAAGAATGCATTAAATAAACAATAATTCTTCTCCAACCCAAAGATAACTATCATAAAACTGAATCTCTACCAAAATGAAAACTACATGCTAATCACAGAGACACTAGAAGGCAAGAGCTCTCCAATTCATATGATTGTCAATGTCCACTTCAAACACTGATCCATGGCCCGATTTATTCTGTATCAAGGTCCCGGTATGCTAGTCAACATAATGATGTCAAATATTGAAATCTGTATTGGTATTTGATGGACTAGGCCAAATGGCCCAGCGCATGTTGAAAGCCCAGTTTAAATTAAGAGCCCAACTTAAGAGCGATCCAGTAGGTCTAGCCCAAGGGAGGTCAAGTTCATCAGGTTGTCGAGGAGCTACATTACCAAGGGAGTAAGCAGGGTCATTCAAGAGCCTCATCCACGCTGCCNCAAGGGAGGTCAAGTTCATCAGGTTGTCGAGGAGCTACATTACCAAGGGAGTAAGCAGGGTCATTCAAGAGCCTCATCCACGCTGCCTTGGAAAGAGTCAACCACCACGTCATCCTTTGACCGGATCTTATGGGAAGTGTCGTAACTGCCTCATCTATTGAGAAGATAGCGCCAGCTTCACTAGAGTAGCAACTTAATTATTGATAAGCCGCCTCAACTTGTTAAGAGACAATTATAAAATGTAAGCCCCACCTACATATGGGGGGCATCTATGACGAGCATCAGATTCAGTCGAGCACATCTCTCCTATCCCTCTCAACTTGTAACTCGTTGCTCTCTCTGCACACTTTAAGTAATAAAATACCTTGACGACCCTAGCCNCATCAGATTCAGTCGAGCACATCTCTCCTATCCCTCTCAACTTGTAACTCGTTGCTCTCCCTGCACACTTTAAGTAATAAAATACCCTGACGACCCTAGTCATTCAAAGTGGACGTAGGTCACATTAACCGAACCACTATAAATCATTGTCTTGCTTTTGTCTCCATCTGTCACTTCTTAACTACTGCATTTATTATTGTTCACTTGACAGATGGTGTGCAGGCCCAATTTGTGTATCATCAGTTTGGCGTCGTTTGTGGGAAAGACAAAATTCTCACTTCAAAACACTTATTTTGCTGTACCTATGGAGATCACCACCAGATCCATGAATCAGCCTGAAGACAATCCACCACGAGAGGAGGAGGTTGCTCCTCCACCAACCAATCATGTTCCAAATGCAACAGACGCTGGAGACAATGCAACATCTCGTAGCTCAGAATCAGCAAATCCTGCAACTGATGCTCGCTCGACAACAAGGCGGAGCATAGCCTGGAAGACATCAAGCCAGTGGAGCTCCACGCCCTGGGCGTCAAGGAACTCCCCACTTGGGAGCTCCTTTTGGAGCCCCACACAGGGGAGCTCCTCCTGTAAGGCAATTCCGCCTCCTACTCCAGCTCCCTCTTCCCATGGTGGAGATCCTAATTTCCAAGAGGATAAGGGCAAGAATCAAAGTGTGGAACATGAGAGTCATTTCCATAACAATTCCAAAGGATCCCCAAATCACTGGGACCAAAAAATCAAAGAGGTACAGAATCAACTGGGCGACGTTTTCAACGCCATGAAGGCACAAGGACCCGAGATTGTGGACTACCTCTTAAGGCGAACAGACACGCCTTTTGTAGCCAATGTGACAAACTACCCACTTCCCCAGAAATTCAGGATGCCATTGGTGGAAGCGTTTGATGGCACAAAAGACCCACTGGATCACCTCGACACCTATAAGTCTTTGATGCAACTACACAATATCCCTGATGAAATCATGTGTAGGGCGTTCCCGACTACTCTGAAGGGATCAGCCCTTCAGCGGTTCGCCAAGCTCATCCCAACATCTATTGGCTCCTTTGCCAAACTAAGTAGGTCCTTTGTGTTACACTTCATCAAAAGGCGTCGCCACAAGAAGCCTGCCACCCTACCGGTTCAATATAAAGCAGGACTAGGATGAAAGTCTGAGAAGTTATCTCACTCGTTTTAATAAGGAGATCCTTCATATTGAGGAGCCCGATGACAAGGTCACCATGACCGCTTTCTTGGGAGGCCTACGCTCATCTAGCTTTCTCTTCTCAATAATGAAACACCCACCAAAGAGCATGCCAAAATTATGGGCAAAAGCTCAGAAATACATAAACGCTAAGGATGTCACCAAAGCCAGTCGAGGTGAGTCCTCGCCATCATCATCACCACCTGTGCTCGACTCTAAAAAAAAAGTCACAAAAGCACAGGCATTACCAGATTTTGTGGCTAAGCTCACACCATTTGAGGAAAGAGATTGTCAAGAAGACTCAGTAACAGGTGCGCAACAGATGGCGCCCAATAGCAGGCACCTAACACCAGACGGAACAACAGGCGCCCAACACCAAGCGTTCGGCACCTCAGGCGCCCTCCTCATCTCAATCTATTGGAATGAGCCTCCGGCTTGTTGACCCTCCCATGGGCTAATCCTCAAATTCTGCCTTTACTCTCATGCGGGCAGCTCCAGAGTTAGTATATCTCCGGCTTAGCGGCTCTCTCATGGGTCACCAAAGGCTTGGCCTATCTCTGCTCTATTCTCAAGTAGGCAGCCTGTCTCCAACTTAGCAGCTCTCTTATGGGTCGCCAAAAGCTTGGTCTATCTCTGCTTTTCTCTCAAGTAGGTAGCCTATCTCGAACTTAGCGGCTCTCTCGCGGGTCGCCAAAAACTTGACTTATCTCTGTTCTATTCTCAAGCAGATAGCCTATCTCCAGCTTAGTGGCTCTCGCACGGGTTGCCAAAAGCTTGGCCTATCTCTGCTCTACTCTCAAGTAGGTAGCCTATATCTCCATCTGAGCGACTCTCTCGCGGATTGCCAAAAGCTTGGCCTACCTCTGCTCTACTCTCAAGCAGGTAACCTAAACCTATAGATTAACAGCTCTCTCATGGGTCGCCAAAAGTTTAGTCTCCCAAGGTGCAACTCTCTTACGAGCAATCCTCAAACTCTGTCTTCGCCCTCACGCAAACAACTTATCACTTTTTCCAGGTAATCATGTTAGATATTATAAATGTTAGAATAACATTATTTTGTCATTTCTAGGCACACTTTTGAAACTTCGGTGGTCTGTAACCCGCGGAACTTTGAATGTCAACAATCAAGCCTCATACATTTGGCACCGCCACCTCGTCATGCACAGCCTGCTCGACCAACACCTCGTGACGCTCACCCAGCGCCCCTCCTGCGCACGCAACCAGCATAGTAGCCCTTTCTGCGCAGTAGCCCTTCTTGTCTGCCCAACCAGTGCAGTCGCTTCTCCTGCGTGCATGGCCAGCTCGCCCACCTCCCTTGCACGAGCAGTCTGCTCGCCAGATCACCTCTGCTAGTGCCTGCCTCCCCTACACGAACGGCTAGCTCACTCGGCGACTCCGCATCAGCGCCGCCTCCTCTCTAGTGCCCATAGCTGGCTTGCTCAGCACCTCCACGCTGCGATAACCACCGGCGGCCCCGCTGCCTACCTTTGTGCTAGATGCTCCGTCGCCATGGAAGCTACTGAACCTTTGAATCTTCTCTCCTTCGCTATTTGAAACCAAGGATTCTTCTGGAATCCAAATAAAAATGGGAAAGGTCTTGAGGTGTTTTGTAGATGAGAGATATATGAAGAAAGGGAAGGGTCATCAGTCAAAAGGGGTCTTCGCTAGCCAAAATTTGAGGTTCAACCAAATGCCTCCTTCTCCAAGTTTTATTGGACACAGGGCAATCGGGGGCAAATGATGGACCAAGCCTAATGACCCAGCTCATGTTGAAGGCCCAGTTTAAATTAAGAGCCCAACTTAAGAGCGAGCCAGTAGGTCCAGCCCAAGGGAGGTCCACACCCGGTTAAGCTCATCAGGTTGTCGAGGAGCTGCATCACCAAGGGAGTAAACAGGGTCATCCAAGAGCCTCATTCATGCCGCCTTGAAAAGAGTCAACCACTACATCATCTTTTGACCGAATCTTATGGGGAGCGTCGTAACTGCCTCATCCATTGAGAAGATAGCGCCAGCTCTATCAGAGTAGCAACTTAATTATTGATAAGTCGCCACAACCTGTTAGGAGACGACTATAAAATATAAGCCCCGCCCTCTCCTATCCTTCTCAGGGGGCCATCTATGACGAGCATCAGATTCAATCGAGCACATCTCTCCTATTCCTCTCAACTTGTAACTCGCTGCTCTCCCTACACACTTGAAGTAATAAAATACCCCCGATGACCTTAGCTATTCAAAGTGGACGTAAGTCATGTTGACCGAACCACTATAAATCTTTGTCTTGCTTGTGTCTCTATCCCTCACTTCTTAACTACTGCATTTATTATTGTTCACTTGACAGGTGGTGTGCAAACTCAATTTGTGCATCATCAGTATTCTCATTCAGTAATAATAGCCTTACAAACTAGAGCTATGACATCCGATGGGTATGCAGAATTTAAATCTAAATACTTTCGGAGAAGAAGAAGAAAAATCCGAATGAGAAAAAACAAGGGATAATTTCCTATTTTTCTTAACTATCTTTCACTATGGACCACCCCACCACATCAAACACCAAACACGAGCAAACTACCACCCCCATCCACACACAGTCTACCCTCCCTCCCCCACCTCAACCCCAAACCCCACGCATAGACTGCCAACCCGACCCCACCTAACATGTACAGCCTACCCCCCACTCTAACATGGTGGTGGTAGGATATTGTATCCAGCAGTAATGGTGGAGCTAAAAGGGATGATGGTGAACATTGGGAAGGGAGTGGCACAATGTGAGGAGTTCCATTTGTTTAGGGTGAGGAGAGGGAGGGTGGATTTGATGGTGAAGGATGGTGGTGGTGGAAGACTTGCAAATGCAGCTATCCTCTGATGTGTTGCTTGGGATTTATTTCTTTTGCAATTTGATTTCAAGTTTAGGAAGGTGTATTCAAGGGAGCATCTATAACAATTAATAAGTATGCGGATTGTCCACTATTACCCCAAGCGAAAAGAAGAACAAGAACAAGAAGAAATCATCTA